TTTCTCTTTATTCTCTCCTCATGGAAGATAGAAATTTATTTACTAGCCACCATCTTTCAAATAATATCTATTACACATAACCTTTCATTAAAAATTTAGAAAGGAAGCACAAAAAAGTACTATTAAAACCTCATTGGCTTTGGGAAAATCCATATGGGTTCAATCTAGGTTCTTAACTCATTAAATGTGTTAATATTACTCAATTTAGTTTCTTGGTAATAAATGGTGGTAGTCAGATCTATCTCAGGGTTATTGCAAGGATTAAATGAGACAAAATAAATGAAGTGTCTAGTACATCATAACTATGCATAAATGCTGGCTTTTATCAATAGTATGGATCAAAATTGATAAGGATTTCATAGACTCTCTGCTCCCTCTCTTCTCATGAAGGAGGTAACTTTTGTTTAACAACCTTCAGCTCATGGATAATAGTCAGTCCTAGAACCTAGGCCTCCTGATTCCCCCTTTTCACCAGCCTCCAAGGGCTTTCCAGTTCACAGAGGAAAAATTTCCAAATTTCTTAGCAAGTCATAGGTGTTCTCAGTGAGCCTTACCTACCTGTGCATGCTTATTTCCAGTTGCGCCATCCACATCCCAGTTTGCAGAATCACCCTAATATCTCATGGGATAGCAACATCTCTCAGAACTCCCCGACCTCCTGATCCTCCCTCTTCCATGCCACCCTGTGTTCTATGTAGCCTTCTATCCTAACCCGGCAACTCTACTGCATCGGCTTATTTTTATGTCGGCATCTCTAAACAAGTTCTTGCAGAAAAACAGTACAGTTGGTGGCACTTCTGTTTCTGCTTCTGTTTCCATCCTTGAGATGATTTCAATGGAGAAATGCAGGACACTTTGAAAGTGATCAATTTTGGTGTGAATATTCAACAACAGCTAGGAGCATTCCAATAAAGTCTTCTGAACAAACACATATCTCTAAGCATCGTGGGAGGTAGGGGGGGCTGTGACAGTTATTCAAATAAGTTTTTAAGTGGAGTCAGATGATAAATATTTGCTCTCTTAGGAATAAAATGATTCTGTGAATATATTATGCTCAACTGGGGATTGCCTCTGCTGTTTACTTCTCATCATATTCATTCTAATTGCTATTACTTTACTTTTATCTTTAATATACATACTGTGTGTGTTTTTAAATCTTTCTTGTGTATGTAATTGAAAAAGTATACTTTTTAGTATGCACAGTAGCATGCTCTAAATTCGTGACCTGTTATATGCATCTCAGACCTGCTTGGTAGCTGATCTGTACAAGCTTTGTTTATGCTAGGGAAAGTCTCTTTTTTGTTCTTCAAATCTCTCTCTCTCTCTCTCTCTCTCTCGCTCTCTCTCTCTCTCTCTCTCTCTCTCTCTCCTACACACACACACACACACACACACACACACACATACACACGGATCTTAGTATCTCCCCCTTCACTCTGTTGAGCTACTGAGCTGCTACAGAATGAGTGACAGGAAAAAGGAAAAAAAATCAACTAACAAAGACCAAAAGAAAGTATAACATGGAGATAGAAGAAAAAAAATGAAAAAGAAAAACTTTAAGCAAATATGAAATGAGTGGCAGGACTGAATTATGAGATGTTGGCATAGATCCCAAAAACTGTCCAAAGACAAAGACCAAAATAATATAAATGTTTGGCTGTGAGTTCCACGAGGAAAGAAAATCAAGGATATATCAACTGTATGTCAAAAGGATATATCAACTGTATGCCCTCTTGCTCCAAAGGCAGGTGGACAAATGTCCGTAACGTCTGTTCTAAGTTGATTTAATTGAGCTTGTCTGTGTGGATATGTGTGTGCCGACAATTATGCTTAACTTTCTGATAATTACTATTATTTGCAAAATATTGAATTTAAGTAATTCAAAGATTATGCTCAGATATTTTTATTTCATGAGGCAATTGTTAGGTTCCCACTCAGGACCTAAATAAGTAAGCTAATAATCTGGGGCCCTTTCAAAATAATCTTTAAGCAATTTTCTTTCAAATTGACTTAGTAAAGATGGAGAGACACCATTTTTGTGTTAATAAATATTGTATTCACATATAAAATTGCTTACTAATTTGCTTCCAGTGACTGTCAAAAAAAAAAGCAAAATGTACTCTAATTCTTGAGGTTTACATTCCACCTTCAGTTTTCTTTTCTGAACCAGGTGTTTGGGAAGAAGCACAGTGGAGTGATTAAAATTTAGATAATAAAGAAAACCACTTGTTCCCAGTAAATAGCACTATGCAATCATTGTTTTGTTTTAGAACTTTAGCTGCTGCTGGCTGCCAAGTTCAGGTGACTGTCTACCAGCTAGCTTCAGAGTTGGCTGGCAAAGAGGGTTTTTTTTTTTTTTCCAAATAAATTTCCATTCAGAGCACCACCACTTTGGTGGGAGCAGGACCAATATTCATTTTGCCAATAATATAAGGAATGGCTTGTGGAAACCTGAGAATTTTGGCACCGTATATTTGATTTATTCCACTGAAGTTTTAGAGCCCCTTACAGATTAGCACCCCTGGTGAGAACCAGCTGGCCCTTAATCCAGTTTGTCCCTCACTCAGAGGGCATGTGCTGTTCACCATAGTGCTGGACTTCTTAGCACATGAGACAAGGAAGAAGAGGTGTAAAGATTGGAAAGTGAAAAAACAAAATTGTCAGTATTTTTAGATGCTGTGCTTAGCTAAAGACAAAAAAATCCAAATGAATCTATGCAAACAAGTTCAGAGTTTAGCAAGGTCATAGGACTAATGGTGTTCCTTTATGCCATCAACCAGGAAGGAAAAAACTAATACCATCTTAAAAAGGAGACATATGTAATACTTTTAGCAATAAAGAATTTAAAACAAGCAAACAAGCAAGCAAACAAACAAAAAACTAATAAGATCTTTCCATTCAGAAAGCAGTAATGTAGCCAGGAATGTTTATCAAAACATACATAAAAGGTCTTTATGAAAAATTTAGAAAATAAACTGAAAGATATCAAAGATTCATATGCATAAAGTGGATTATGCATAATGATGTTTATACTTGGTGTACATTATTTCCAAATTAATTTGTAAGTATAATATAATTCCAAGCAAAACCCCAACTTTTTCTAATGGAAATTTACTGATTCTAAAATTCTTATGGGATGGTAAAGGGTCAAGAAGTACTAGTGATTTAAAAGAAAAATATTAAGAAATTAGCACTAACTCTAAGAGCAATAACTATATAATAGGAAATTGTGTTAAAAATTAAAATTGTGTTGTATTGCAATAGAAATAGACAAAAAAATAATTGGACCAAATTAAAGAGCTGTGAAAAAACTTCAAATGTAAGGGAAAGGATGAAGTAATAAATGGTGAAATTATGCAGAATTATTTGTCATTATAGAAAATTTAAATTACATTTCTCTCTGTTACAATCCTCAAAAATACATTCCAGATTGATGAGTCCCTAAATGTAAAGAGTTAACCTTTAGCCTTAGCTCTTATGCCTGCAGACTGAAGGGTCCCGGGTTTGATCTGGTCAAGGGCACATGGTTGGGTTGTGGGCTCTGCTAATCAATGATTCTCTCTTATCATTGATGTTTCTCTCTCTACTTCTCCCTTCCTCTCTGAAATCAATAAAAATATGTTTTTTAAAGAGTAAGCCTTTAAAACATTTAGAAGAAAATGGACAGACTTAGCTTATGACCTCCGCATAGAGAATAACTTTTGACAGAGACACAAAATGCCCAATTCATACAGTAGAGCATTGATAAATTTGATGGCATTACGTTAACAGTTTCTTTATGAGTAAAAAAGAATGCACAGACTGAAAGAAGATATCTGCGGTGCGTACAACCAACAATGATCACTGTTCAGAATAAATAAAGCAATATATGTATAAATCATAAGGAAAGACAACCAGCCAAAAAGAAAAAAAAATCAGCAACAGATATGAACATACATTCAATTCACAGGAGAAAATAATTCATGGGCCCAACAAGCATTTGGAAGGTCCTCAGCTTCAAGTGCTCATCAGCCCCCTCCCCGCCCCCCGCAAGTGGTGGATTCCTTCATTCTGTATCCATTTCTCCCATTTGGAAAGGGGAGAAAGCTAAACATACTTTTAGGCTCTCTAGCTGTGAGGATTCCAGATGGAAATTAAGTCTGTCTCTAATTGTACCCAGGGGAGGTTCCAAAGGCAGAGAGAAGAGGGGGTCATTTTCCCTGTCCCTTCCAGCTGCTTTTGCTGGCGCGAGGTAGAGAGAAACACGATCCTGCCTGAGACAGACTCCCCAAGTCCATTCTCTAGCTGCCTGGGCTCTGAGAAGTCCTTGCAGCGGCTGTAGTGGTAGAAGGGACTTTTTGGTTATGACTTTCTGGTCACTGATTGGCAGCAATGGAGTGTGCGAATTCAACTCATGCCTTCCGAGAAGTGGCCTTGGAATTGGTAGTCACCTCAAAGGGCAGTTCTGCTTTGACCTGAGGTCCTGATCTCTCTATTAAATCTCTTTCTTCTCAGTATACCTAGAGAGGCTTTTCTTTTTCCTGCACTGAACACTGATTGACACAACAGATACATGTTAATTAAAAGTATGCCAATTTCACAGGCCTCCTATAGACAAAAATTTTAATAGTCTTATTAATAATCACCAAACATTGCTGAGGAAAGTTGGAAGTAGTGTGAATGAGAAAGCTATCAACTGTAATTTTTTAAAAAAAATTGAAAACAGACATTAGAGTTTAGTGACCAAGGGCATAGGTTCCAGTTCTGGGTATATAATTGTTCAAATCATGGCTTCCCTACTCCTCTGGATAAGTCCCTTTATTTAATTTCAGTATCCTCACTTCTAAGATGTAGAAAATAATACCTACCTGTAGTGTGAGAATAAAGTGCAATAACAAATATTATTTCTTGAGTCTGAAACTCCATAATAGTTGATATTATCAGATTATAATTCTATAAAATGAAATTGAAAATAATGAAAAATAAATGGGGGGAAATGGAGAAACTGTGGAAAACAAAACAAAACAAAAGCAACCTTAGGATATATTAGAATTTAAGAGGAAATGAGAAATTTAGACCTCCTGGCCTTTTAAACTGTGGCCAAAGAAAAAAGATTACCCAACCTTTTGATACATAAATTATGTTATAATTCCTCACCAATTTATTTATTATAATCATCACCCCCAAACTGTACCCCTTGGGCTTTTTGTCTCAGTGTCAGCTTGCGGCCACTGCCACTGAACTTCATGGGATGGGTGCTCTGCTGGGCCCCTCTCTCTGCTGGTGATGGTCCCACTCTGGCCATTGAGAAAAGCACAGATCACTCAATTTTCCATAATATCACTCAGATAGAAGAAAGTAAGCAAGGCTTGCTGAAGGCTTGAGAAAAAGACATATAACATACCAAACAGTGTATACCCGCTTTAAGCTGTATTTCTTAGGACTCCTATATTCATAGCAAAATTCAGAGCCCTTGCATTACTGCTGGGAGATCTTCACATAGTAGAAGTCAATTCCTCTCATCATCAATATCTGCAGTTACCTCCACCCAGCAAAGTTCAGGCCCAATTCTCTTTTGGCCTCAGAAAATGAATGTTCATTTCAATTTTGCTCCAGGATGATTGTGGGAAATTTTAATTTATTTCAGGAAAAATTGTATGCCCCAATATGTTGTTTTAATCTCATATTTCTCAATCAAAATGTTTTATACTGCTAAATTTTCTGATATTGAACTATCTTTACATTCCAGGACAAATAATTTTTGGTCGATGCATTAGTCTTGGAATGGACTGCTGTGTTAATTTTATATTTATTCCCATAATGAAATTACCCCCTAGTTGATCTATTCTATGACATTTTTGCCTACTAACCTCAAAATTTTTACATAATTTGCCATCATTTTTCATATTGTGGACCAAAATGTAGACGATAGAGATAATCTGTTTTGTGATGGCATAATAGATCTCTTATAAAATCGCCTTTGTTTGATGTCTTTTACAGGAGTTGTCTTTACCACCATTTTGCTTTCTTTTACTATAGTTGATCCATTCAGAATAGTCTTACTAATTTATATCTCCCTAAATTTTTCATTTTATCTAGACTGCCACATTTTTATTAAGTAAATTTGTTTATAATAATCTCTTATGAATTTTAATAAATCTATTCTCTCTGAATTATTTCCTCTTTGCCATTCTTAAGGTTATTTATACTTTCTCTCTTGATTAATTTTTCAAGGGTTTATCAACTTTGTTAGTACTTTCAAGGAATTTTTTTTAAATTTGTTGGTTATCACCATTGGATTTTGTATTCTATTTCAATATTTCTGTTTTATATTTATCACCTTTCATTTCATTTGGATTTATTTTAACTTCCTTCTGACAGTATCTTGAGCTGAACAGCTAAATTAATTTTTTAACTTTTCAAATATGTTAAAATCGATAGATGGTATTTTCATGCTCATTCAGTTATAAATGCTTATCATTTTTATTTAGGTTTTCTTTTTAATCCAAAAGTTATTTGTAAATGTGTTTAGTTTCCAAATGGGGAGGCTTAGTGGTTAGTTGATCAGTTTTCTAAAAAAGACTTGAAGAAGATTTACATACTGTTTTTACTCAAATAATATTTCCTTTCCTTATATGGTTTGTCATATGATGGATATGATGGATATGGTCCATCATAATTTGGTCAATAATACTCCATAATGCCAATGTTCTGTAACTTATATAATCCTCCGCCTAGCATTAGACTTTAGCTTGCTTTGCTTTGTTGTTAAAGTTAATGCTTCAATAATTTCAGATACAATACTTTTTTTCCTACTGAGGAAAATGCAGTTGGATCTGGGAATGAAGGTCTTCAGTAGAGAAAATATTTAGGACAGTATCCTAACACAGGATTAAATGGGGGATCGAATGCTGTCAGCACCAATAAAGGAATAATTTTCTCTTTTAAAGAAGAGGAAATTAAGGGAATTAAGTGTCATCAAATGTAGTAAATCATCACAATGACTGAAGGCATGAAGGCAAATCAAGTAATGCTTTAAATACAGCACACCAAGTTGTACAAATTCATAGTATCCCTGCCTATGAAAATGGCTTCCTGGTCTCTCTTAGATTTTTAACACAGACTGAGTGCCCAGTTGCTGCTGTTCTCAAGGCTTCAGCATTTAGGACCATTTCCCCCAAGCATTTCACACCTCATCAAAGAGTCAGGGCAATGAGGCATGGATCTCACCACCTTTGGAGACCTCTTCACTCCTTGCCATTCCCCAAGGCTAAGAGTGTGAATCCTCTTCTCATCAGAGCATTTTCACTCCTTCCAACTCCCTCTCCTTGAGGGCCTTTAAAAAATAATAATTAATTTGTTTTTTTTATTGTATTCTATTTTCCTTTTTAACACTCATACCTTTACAACAAAATAATGTAGATCTTTTCTCTGGAGGGAAAGCTTCTCTACTATTCTTCAACAGTTCACAGCAGCCAAAACACCAAAATGCACATTAACTTTTGTTTACCCTTAATAACACTTGCAATATACCCATCAAGTAGCCGCTCAATGTCACCTTTCTGAATGTCTCAGTGAAAATGTAAAGGCAGCCTATGTCCTTGTTAAAGTCAAACTCGGGATATTTTGTTGATATTCTTTGCCTGAAAGGAATCTCTTACTTACCTCCCTCTGTTCTGTGTAACTTTGCCCAGCTCTGACCTGGAGCTTTGCCCAATGTCTACAGTCATCTATGGCAGAAACTGTGGATTTTAAATAATGTTTCCCTTCATGAGGGAGCTGAGAAAACAACACCGTTGCGGCAGGTCGAATGTGCTGTTTGTGCAGGTAATATTAGCATTATCCTGGGAGGAAATCTGAAACGTGGTGGTCTCCTGAGTCACTCAAGTTAACATTTTAGCAGATTCAACATTAAAGGGGATTCGGGAACTATTAAGGGAGAACAGTGCTGCTGTTCTCAAGGCCTCCCTGTTTTCAGGAATTTTCTTTTTGCCTCCATGATCATGTGTCCTTCCTGAATCTACAAAGAGGATGGAAAGATAATTTTAAAAGAGCAGTATCTAAATGAAAAAAAAAAGAGAGAGATAGGAAAAAGAGATGATTAAAACAAAGTCGACACCAGAAAAAACACACGCACACATACACACACAAAAAACACAGAAATGAAACTTAATGGCATAAAGTATAATAATAGAAAAATAGGTAACATTTTAAAATGCTGAGGAACAAAACAAACTAACAGCAAAATTTTATAATCTTATTTCAGACAAAAAGTTAAAAAGGATACCCGGGAGTAAAGTGTTTTAAAAAGCAAAATTTGTTTTCAACACTCAGCGCCCCTTGAGAGGCTCCCTGCCTTGTTCTTCATCTCAGTGGTCGGCAAACTCATTAGTCAACAGAGCCAAATATCAACAGTACAACGAATGAAATTTCTTTTGAAAGCCAAATTTTTTAAACTTAAACTATATTGTTTAAGTTTAATAACAATACATTGTTATTAACTTAATTAGAGTACTCCCAAGGCTTAGGAAGAGCCACACTCAAGGGGCCAAAGAGCCGCATGTGGCTCGCGTGCCACAGTTTGCCGAGCATGGTGACCTGGGTCCTGGGTCCTAGGTCGTGTTTCGCCTTGGTTGGCAATGTCTTGGTAG